AATTATTTTAAGGCTACAAATAAAGCATTCAGAACCAGGCTGATTCAAGGAAACCAGGAAAAAGCCGTTCATGCTCCTTATTCGATGACGTCAGTTTTTTTTTTTTATGTACCGATCCCGACATTTCCACCCTGAAAGGATTTATGAATTTTCTACATCCCACACACATTATCGAAATAAATAAATTCATGTCTGCAGTGAGAGTCTCATGCATTATGGATGAGTTAGATAATTTAAAATTAAAATAAAAACAAGTTTCAGAGGCTCAAAGTTTCCTTCTTCCTCGCCGCGAAAAATAGGGAAAAAAATATGAGGAGGAAAATGATGCAAATGAGTATAATAAGATAAGGATTAAAATATAATTTAAAAAAACATGATGAATAGAAATGAAAATTACAAAGTTCATTTTTAAAAAAGACCTTGGTAACGAATGTATTGACCTTTAAAAAGCGGATTTAAATGGCATGAGTGAACCCTACCCAGAGGGTTTTATTGGCGTCCCTTTAAATACGTTGCCATGACAACAGCCATCAGTTCCGTCCGAATGAAAGGAAAGATATGAGTATATCAGTACTAAAAATAGAAAAGTACGCGCTTCATTATTCTTGGGATTGTACGAATCCCAGTCGCGTGTTAAGGTTTAGGAAGGATAAACAAGTGATAAACCAATAAATGGTTCGACAAAATAAAGAAAAAGAGAGAAAACGAAAGAAATCCGATCGGTCTCTCGACGGGAATGCAGCGAAGGAATTCCGCGACCACTTCACTCGTGAAAGAAACCCTTACGCAAGACGAACTTCAAAACAGCTGTTGTGATCCCCGCCGCCAAGGAGTTCATCGAGTCCACGAAAGATGATTTTTTTTTGCTCAACAGGAGCGGCCGTCCCCGCTGACGATGGTGGAGCTGTTGACCTGCGCCAAGGACGTGGCGGAGGGATGCCGGTATCTGGAGGAGAATCACTTCATTCACCGGGACATCGCGGCGAGGAACTGCCTCCTCACCACGAAAGGGCCGGGGAGGGTGGTGAAGATCGCGGACTTCGGCATGTCCAGGGACATCTATCGGTGAGTCGGGGAATCAGTGACATCCGCGATGCGTCTCCTTAACCCGTCGTTAGACTCATTTCGCCCGGGACAAGAGGAAGCCAGATGTCGCCAACATGGTTCCGCTAATGACTGCCTTCTCCCCTTTAG